GGACATTTCAGAAGTAGCCTGAAACTCCTCTGTTTGGGTGCATGCACCCAACCACACTTGAGTCTTACCCTGGAAGCAGGGTAGGATATTGGTTAAAAATTGGGGGGAGGAGAGGTTGGACTGAAATAGACCAGACCTAGGTGTCATTCTGAGTTCACCATTGACTGGGGTTTAAATTCTGGGTCACTGTTCATCAGCTGTGTGACCTTGAGCCAAGTGTCACCCTCTCTGAACCTCACGTTTCCCCATGTGCAAAACAGGGGTAGGACTCCTTACCTCGGGGTATAGCAGGGCTCTACAGCTCCCCTCAGTGCCCAGCACATACCGCATGCCATTCATTCATTAGGCACCCTCTCTGAGCCTCGGTTTCCTCATCATAAAATGGGAATAAATCCCCACCTTGCAGGGCGGTTGTGAGGATCGGAGAGAACTCACCAGAAGTGCTAAGCGTGGGAAGCACATAGCGGCCCCTGTGTGACATACATGGTGAACATCATGCCGTCCCTTCCCCTTAGTACCCGAGCCCAGCAGTCACCAAGGAAACACAAAACGAGGAGTTCTTAGCAACAGAGCTCACCTGGGATGGCTCACATCTCTTTTTTTCTTCAAACCGCAACAGAAGGAAATCTCCAACTCTCTGGGAAGGTTTTCAATAAATACATAAAAATATGCCCAATCTGACATTCAAAACATGAACCGGAAATTAAGGAGGTATGGTTGGTTTTCCTGTTAGGTTGATCATAATGTCCTGTTGATGAGAATCTGGAAAAAGTGTACTGTCATGTCGTGTGCCTTTCTGGGACAGACTGTTTGGAGGTCAACTTGGCAGTACAGAGCAAATGTTAAAATGTTGATTTTCTTAAACAAGGACTTCTACTTAAGCAATCTGCTTTACAGGAATACCAGCACAGACACGGAAAGGATGTTCACTGAGGCACTTTCTGTAATAGCCAGACACGGGAAAGGACCTAAATGTCCATCAGTTGGAGTTTGTTTGAGTCCATGTGGTCCACCCAGATATGGGATACTAACTCGGCAGCCATTAAAAAAGAGTGAGCGCCGCCCAGGTGGCTCAGTTGATTGGAGCATTGTCCTGTACAACAGAGAGGCTGCGGGATCAGTCCTGGTTGGGGCACAGACCTAGACTGCAGGTTCCATTCCTGGTTGGGGTGCGTACAGGAGGCAACCGATTGATGTTTCTCTCACATTTTCTCTCTCTCTCACATTTTCTCTCTCTTTCTCTCTCTCTCTCTCTCTCTGTCTCTCTCTCTCTCTCTCTCTCTCTCTCTCTCTCTCTCTCCTTTCCTACCTTCCTCTCTCTCTCAAATCTCAGGTGAGGATTAAAGAATGAGTGACTTTGGGTGATGGAATGTTTTGGAACTAGATAAAAACGGTTGCACAACATTATGAATATACTAAAGGTCACTGAATGGTTCACTTAAAATATTGTTCATTTTATGTTGTGTGAAGTTTCACCTTAATAAATTATTATTATTATAATTTTTGGTAATCCTCACCCAAGGATATTTTTCCACTGATTTTTAGAGAGTGGAAGGGAGGAAGTGGGGGCAGGGGAGAAACATCAGTGTGAGACACACATTAATTGGTTGCCTTTTGCACAAGCCCCGGCGAGGGCTGGGGATTGAACCTGCAACCCAGGTATGACCAGTAATCGAACCTGAGACCCTTCAGTGCAAGGGCCAACACTAACCACTGAACCACCGGCTAGGACGATAAATTATTTTTTTAAAAGTCAGTCTTTTATACTAACACAGAAAGACATTGTTAAATGAAAAGATAAAACTTTGTTTTCTGTGAATGTTAGCAAATGTGAAGAAAAGGTTTGACAAGATCTAGAACAAACTTAATAGCATTCACTTCTACTAAATGGACTTGGAAAAATGAGAGGATTTGTACTTAATTTTTTTTTTACACTTTTTAAAAAATTCTTTATTGTTGAAAGT